CCCCCCCCCCGGAGGCCACCTCACTGTGCTTGGGGCTCGGGGACCGATGGTCGGCCGGCTGGCTGGGCTCCTCCGCCTCCGGCCTCGGCGCCGGGGCCGGGGGGGGATGATCGGCCGCCGCCGCTACCCCCGCCCGCCCCCACCCCTTGGCAGAAGTGATGTAACCCCCCGGGGCGCGTGCGTAGTCCGGGGGCACCAGGCGAGGGGGGGGGGGGGCTGCGATCGGCGCGTCGGCCGGGCTCGGCTCCCGGTTCCCCGCCTCTCGCGAGCATCGGGGGCCCTCCTCCTGCGAGATGTGTCTATTGGTACGGGCGGATGCATGAAGGGCATATGTTGTGTGCAGGAGGGGGACGTGCGCGCGGGTGGATGGCAGGGCTGTGCGGCTGGTGGTGGGGCCGGCTCGCAGGGGCCGGACCGGGGGGGGTCTGGCAAGAAAGAGCCCAAAAGAAGGGCGCGGCAGATGGCGCCCCGCCCCCGGCCCAGGGACCCCCTTTCTCCGCCCCGCCTAGAGACTTCTTCACACGGGCGCGTGCGGGCCGAAGAGGCTGAGAGAAGCAGCGAGCGCTCCCTGTGTCTATTGAGGGGAAAGAGCAGAGAGGGGGAGGAGGACTGGGTGGGAAGAAAGACTGGAAGAGTCGTCCGAACGCCCTCTCCCCCCCCCCCCCCCCCCCCCTCGTTCCCCTCCTGCCCACTTGGCATCCTCCAAGAGCGGGCTCGAAGAGACTTCCCCCTCTGCCTCGATGAGACCAGCAGTGCAGCAAAAGAGAAAAAAAGGCCTCCACCGCCAACCACAACAACAACAGCAGCAGGTAGCATATGCGCGCATCTTGTGCGATGCTGGAGGAATGAGAAGGGGGCGTGTCCATTGGTACACGTCCCCCGGCCTCGCGGCCCCCGCTGGCGCCGGCTTCTTGGCCTCCGCGTCCCCGGGAATCAGGGCTGCGTGGTCTGGAGCTTGGGCCGGGTGAAGTTGATCGGCTCGCCGAAGAGAGCCGAGATGCGCCGCGACCCCGGGGTGTAAGTCTCATTCGTGGCCCGGGAGGTGGTGCCGGCACCGACCGCCGGGGAGCCGGACCCGCTGAAGGACGACGTGGACAACGACCGCAGGTGGCCGCCACCGCCGCTGGTGCCGGCATGGCCGCCACCCCCGCCGCCGGCCCCGCCCCCGCCGCCGGCCGACCCGGAGCCCAGATCGGGCGCCGTGGTGAAGGACATGCTGCGCGACCGGAGACTGTTGCTGCTGCTGCTGCCGCCGCCGCCGCCGGATGCCGTGGCCACCCGAGCCGACAGCTGGAAGGAGGGGGGGATCTGTGAAGAGGAAGAGGAGGAAGAGGAAGAGGACGGGGGGGAGGACGCACGCGCCCCGGGCTCAGCGGGCGGTGTCGGGAAACTGGAGACACTGCTGCCAGCCGGCGAGGCGTACATCGAGCTGGGTCGAGGCCGGTCGGCGGGGTCGAGCGACGCGGCACCGCTGAAGGATCGTGGCCGGCCGCCGGCGTGGTAGTGCGATCCGGAGGACGGGGGAGACAGCGAGCGCGGCACGTAAACCGACGACAGGGTGGAGGAGGTGGTGCCGCGGTAGCGGCCGCGCACGGGCCCATCCCCGGTGGCCCCCGCCGCCCCTGACGAGGAGGAGGAGGAGGAGGAGGAGGAGGAGGAGGAGGAGGAAGACAGCGACGATCCGGCCACAGGGCGCGTGGCCAACAGCGGCGAGAGCGAGGTCCCGCCGGAGGCGATGTCCGCCTCCAAGGTGGCTGCAGCCCGTGGAATGGTCGACGCCGGGGCCGAAGAGGAGAGCCGGCCTGACCCTCCGGCAGGGCCGGGCAGGTGGCCGGCGTCGCCGCCAAGCCTCCCGAGCGGCGGGGTATCAACCTCGACTGCGGCCGCCGCCGCTGCCCCCGCCACCGAGGACGAGGAGGAGGAGGAGGAGCAAGAGGAGGAGCCGGGAATGGGGGCAGTTGCCGTGGCATCGGCCGCGCCCTGCACGCAGCCACCGCCGCCGGCATCGTCATCATCATCATCATCATCATCATCATCGTCATCATCACCATTGCTGGTCGCCGGGCGGACGCCGCTGCGCGAGCGCAACGGTGACGACTCGGCCGGCCGGGTGGCCGAGTCGCGCCGGGCCGCACGCAGGGCCAGGCCCTCGGCGGTGGTGGCACTGACCCGGACCCCGGTCGCGCCGGTGCCCATGCCACCGGCCCCACCGCCGCCGGGACCACCGGGACAGCAGTTGGCGGCCCCGGACACGGCGGCCACCGTGCGCGGCGACATGCCGACCGACTCGGCGGCCGCGGCCACGGCCGGCGAGAAGGCGGTCATGTCCAGCACCGGGCGCGCGGTCATGCGGAGACGCGCACGCAATGAGGAGGACCCACTGGACAGGGTATTCACCGGCAGCGGGGAGTCCAGCCCGCCGCCGGCATCGGCCAGGGAGGCCCCTCCCGGGCTCCGGCCGCCGCCGGACAGGTCGGCCCCCATGCCGCCGCCGCCGCCGCCGCCGCCGGCCTGGCACCGGGAGCAGGGCTCGTTGGCCAGGCGGTCCACGCGCCGCTGGAGGTCCGTCACACGGCGCTTGGAGGTGGCGGCCTCGACGCGCGCGGCATCGGCATCGGCCCGGGCCTGGCCGGCCTCGCGCCGAGCCGCCGCAAGAGCCTCCTCCGAGGCGGCCACCAGCGACTCGGAGGCGGCGAGCTCATCGCGCGCGGCCGCCGCCCGGCCCAGGGCCTCGGTCCACCGGGCCTGCAACAGGGCCGTCGAGGACCGCATGGCGGTCGCATCGCGCCGGCTCTCGGCCAGCTCGTCCTGCAGCCGGAGGGCCTCCTTTCGGATGTCGGTCAGAGCCATGCGACGCTCGGCCAGCTCGGCCCGCAGGATCTGATTGGCCTCCCGCAGCCGGGCCTGCTCGTCGGTCAGACTCTGCACATCGGCCTGCGAATGGGCCAGGTCCGCTTGGAGTTTGGCCACCTGGCTCTCGAGCGACTCCAGGGAGGCCTGGGACCCGGCGCGCGACAGGGCCTGGCCCTCGTCGGTTCGCGCGGCCTCGGTCGCCAACTCGAGGTCTATGCCCAGTGAGGCCCCATATGCAGAGGGGTGGAGGGCGTGCAGTGTGGTGCAGCGCGAAGGGGGGAGGGAACCGAGGGGAGGGGGGCGGG